CCACATTCATGCTGGTCAGTTCTTGGAAGAGCAATTTGCATGCGTAAGGCATCGAAATTTTCGACACATTAGCTGAAGACTGACAGTAGTGACACCACGAGCAATACGCCAAGCGACCGCATGTCTTACAGACATCCACATCAAAAGCATCAGACGAAATCATCAAACGTTCCATAATTAACATACTGGCACCATACGAAATCAAACAATCCCGCTCCATTTCGCCCAAACGCAAGCCACCTTCTCGACTGCGGCCCTGCGTTGGCTGACGAGTTAGCACGGCTTTTGGACCACGTGCACGCGCATGCATTTTGTCTTGCACCATGTGCTTCAGCTTTTGATAATAAACAGGGCCAGAGTATATGTATGTCTCTAGTGACTCACCCGTAATGCCAGAGTAGAAATAGTCTTTGCCCATGTAATTAAAGCCATGTTTGAATAGTTCATCTTGTATGTCCTTGCATTTCGACCCACCAAATGCGGTGCCATAATGAAATTTGCCCTCTAACAAACCGGCTTTGCCTCCAAGCAATTCAAGCGATTTACCGACTGTCATACGACTGGGAAAACCATGTGGGTTCATAACCATATCAGGGCATATACCATAGTCATTAAAAGGTAAATCTTCTTGTTCAACAATTAGGCCCGTGACTCCCTTCTGACCGTGACGAGAACTAAACTTGTCGCCAATTTCTGGACGCCGCGTTTGACGTAAAAGTATTTTAATCAGGAAGTCTTCTTCGCCATTCGCCGATACCATAACTTTTTCGATATAACTCGGTTCAGGACCTTTGTACGAAATAGGTACAGCAGTGTAGGGGATCTGTATTTTAATAGAATAAAATAGACATTTGAGGTGTATATGTACATACACTAGTAGTTTCATCAAAAAATGTATATATTTACTTGTGAACTTTGTCCAGTTTGTTCAATTGGATTTATAGAAGTCACTGCAGGCATTTCCTTGTTTATCAAAATTTGTTTATTTATAACCATTTCTCCAGGTGCCACGATTCCGTCGGTGTCTAGCGCATCGTGTTTGAATATCACTTTATTGGTGAGTGCATCCTTTACGGGACCCATTATACGATCATATGTCTGATTTGCGTACCGTTTGACAGTACATTTTGAATTTTTATAAATCAAACATCGTCCATAGCCGCGATCGATAGAGGCTTTATTTAAAATAAGCGCATCTTCAATATCATAACCAGAGTAACTCATTACAGCAACAGTTGCATTTTGGCCAGCAGGCAATTTGTCAAATCCTGTGAGCTCTATGGTTTTTGATTTAACCATAGGTGCCTGTGGATATACTAAATTATACATAAGTGTATCGATTCGATTTTTCTGATTATAGCCTATAACTCCCATAGCTTGTTTGCCCATAGCACATTGATAAGTGTTACGTGGACTTTGATTGTGATGTGGATAAGGCACAAGTCCAGCGCATACGCCTAATAATGTGAACGGTTCTATTTCCAAGTGTGTGGTTGTATCCGCCATGATATCAGCCTCATTCCAGGCTATAAATGAGTCGTTTTCTTCGTTTACATCGAGATACTCTACCAAGCCGTCATGCAAAAAGTCTTCAAATTTGCGTATTCCCCGCTTAAGTTCTTCTATGTGGCGCTGCTCCACGGCGAGCTTGCCATTTGTGACTATAATATATGGCCGACAGAGGCGACCGCCATCGGTATGTATGTATACACAACGCTGCGTGTGAGAAGTATGTATGGAAACGAATGGACCTAGTCGGCCTTTGCGGCGCATCATACGAAAGACATGCACGAGCCGTTTATAGCTTATTGTAAGGCCCAGAATGTTACCTAAAACCATATAAATTTTTTATTTTATTCTATAATAGACTACAACCATTCTTTATTTGCTCACCATTTATAAATACCAGGAAAACTTTAGAATTATTAATTACATCGCCACCAATCAATCGTATATCTTCTACGCCAGCATTAAAAGCTAAACGTATGACTGGTCCTTCATCCACTTCCGTCGTAATGTGTGTCATTAAAGCCAAATTCTTAACGAGACCACATGCTTCACCCTCAGGCGTATCAGAGGGACAAAGCATGCCCCACTGGCTAGGTTGTAAGGAACGTGGACCAGAAACTTTTCGCGTTTTTTCGAATTGCGAATTTACGCGGGTCATCATACCCAATGCTGAAATGTAGCTCAATCGTGAAAGAACTTGCGTTACACCAGCACGTTCCATTTTGAAACGTTTAATTGTCCAATTTCCAGATGAAATAGCCGATTCCAAGCCAACTGTTATTTGGGCTGCGCGCATATGTTTCACCACGTCGAATTGAGCTGCCTTTACTTTGGGAATGTTCTTGTCTGCAATCATTTTCAATTCCCAATTCATGCGTTTGAAAAGATCTTCGAACATCAGAGAAATGAGCGAACCAGCCAACTCTAGCCGCTTGTTTCCGTAGTAATCCCGATCATCAAAAGCAGTTGGATCAAGTTCTGCGGCCATAACGCGTCGAACCATCAGCGAAACATAAATCGACTTAATTTGGAAATTGAAGTTCTCAACGGGAACATGGGCAAGAATAGTGGTTGTAAGTAGCTCTCGGGCTTCTTCCGCAGGGGTTTTTGTAGCTGCGCTTTGGAAACGCTTGACCACAAGCTTAGAACCTAGAAGCAAAAAGTTTATTTTTTAATAAAAGACTCTGATAAACGCTAATGCACTAAGGATGGCTGTTATATACCCATAAATTCAAGCGCGCGCTGCTGTGTAAATACTTTCAGTTGAAAAGCCTCCAAAAGCGAAGGAGCGAAACGATTTTGTGTCTCAGTATCAGTTCCTATTAACGACATTATTTCTTGGTCGGAGTTTACACCCATGGCCTTAAATATGATAGCTATGGGTATGTCATCGGTCATGGAATTGTGCTTAAGGTAGTACTTTCCGTGCTTACTTAATACCAACGTTCTAGATTTCTTTTCGTGGGTGGAGGAAGTTACTTGGCATTGTACAGTGCTATTAAATTCTTCAGTTATCATTTTGTTCCACGACAATTGTTCCTGTATAAGAATTACTTTTTCTTGGCCACGAACAACGAAATAACCGCCCGGATCCAAAGGACATTCATTCATCTTAGCCAATTCAAACTCAGATTTTCCAGATAGAACACAATTAGAAGAACGTAACATTACCGGCATTCGCCCAATTAAAAGGTTATTTCGTATAATACGCTGTGCTCCACGGGTATATTCGATATCGACTGTAATGGGAGCCGAATAAGTGGTGTCGCGTAATCGACACTCATGTGGCGTAGTGGCTTTTGTAATATTGTAGCCATCTTCAATGTCAGGAGTGCCAACGCGTACGTCTAAGTATTTAAGGTAGAAAAGTGGATCAGCATCACTAATAACCGATTGATTGGCCTCCACAATTTTTTTAATATCTACATTGACGAAGTGATTGAATGAGTCGATATGCTGCTTCACCAGTCCTTTTACTTGTAAAAACGCCGGCACCAACTTCCACTTCTCCTCCAGCGGCTTAATGGGTTTGGACCAAGCCTTGGGGTCACTATCCCATGCCATTTCGCCACCAGTTTGGTCGATCATTAGTAGCAATACAGATTTCACAAAATAAATCCTTTTAGAAGTGAAATAAATGAAAATATTTTGAAATAATCGCATCCGCTCCGATAAAGGCTCGCACGCGGATCGAAATTATACCCCGAACATGACTTGGCGTGCGGCGATGATATTTCTCAAGTAAAAGTAAATAAAGCCGAAGAGGAGGATAAAAGAAACTGTCAGAAGAGTCAATTTGCATTTTGCATGTCCAATGAGATGCCACATGTGCATACTTGTTATCAAACATAAAAATATGTGGTCTTGACGTTTTTCCAAATAGCGGTCTTCATCTAAAGTGACAAACTTGATAAAATTATAAATTTAAGGGGATATGTTTAGTTAATCGTACAACGAATTTAGGATGGCTGGCGCAGGTGGGGTGACCTGGCCTTCAAACCCCCTTAAACGAAAGAGGATGGACCGAGCTTTATGGAAACTTAGTATTTTATTAAAAATACCTATCCAAACCACGTTTCGTTGAAAGCGTCAATTTTTGTTTACTTTTATATTTGGCATTTCTCCTCCTCTTCGCAAAAATAATCGATAAAACTTGGTTGGACCTCGAAAAGTTATCGGTTCAATTTGATACTATTTTAAAATTAAAGATTAGCGAGTGACGAATTTTGTGTGGCTAATCTCTTTTGTAATCACAGATTAGGGAGTTAAGCTCGAAAATGAGGATATACTATTTATATGTAGACCTAGTATAACAAAAGTAAGTCTTTTCAGCATTCACAGTTGATAAAATTAACGAGCACCAGCTAGAAGCTTACTAAATAGGTATTATTAAAAATAGTTTTTCAAAACTCATACTTGACTTCAAAGTTTGTGTAAAAGAAACTTCCCTAGTTTTTAAGTTTTTCTAAATAGGGATTTCATCTAAAGAGATAAACTGCTGATAAACTTGATAAAATGATAAATTTATCGGGCATTGTTTGGTTAATCGAACAACGAATGTTGGGCGGCAAGCGCAGGGGGAGGAAACGTAGCCACCACACCCCATTAAACGTAAGGGGATGGACCGAGCTTTATCTCTTGATAAACATAGTTTGCAAGATACAGCGATCAGAGTTGATAAAATTACCAAATACCATGGTATTGCAGCTAGCACCTTACCAAACCGACGGAAATGGGTATTATTAAAAATATTTTCCCAAAACTTATACTTGACCTCAAATTTAGTGAAAACGAAACTTCCGATGAAATATTGGGCATTTAGAGACCTTTTGCTTTTGATATCTACGGGTCTGGTCATGAACCAAAGACCTTTTTTCAGATTCTGGTTTTTTTTTGGATTTTTTTTTTGGGATTTTTGGTTCATGGGGTCTGGAAAGACGGCAACACTGAATACAAGTATGTAAAAAGAAAACAAACAGCGATTATTGAGAAGAAAATAAGCAAATGGCAATAGAATACAAACGTCAAATCTGGTAGAAAAAATCACTTTGTCGCTTCACATATTTTCGATAGAAATAAATAAAATTACAAATTGAATATTTAATATATAACCTAGCATTTAAATTACGTGCTACTAAAACAGGTAAATGTATGACGCTCAGATAATTGAGTTGAAATTCTATAGTAAACATTTTACCAACATTCTTTGCTCGTAAGTCGCCTTTCCGCGCATGCCAAGATGATAATTTTTCCATATTGCTATTTGTGTTCCTAGCTTTTTTAACTACTTTTTAATTTCAGAAAACTGCCTGATATCAGATACTGATAAGTTAGCGAGTACTGACGGAAGTGTGCGGGGACCCGTGTTTACAAATTGTTCGCGTTGACTTCGCCAAAATCGTCGAAACACTTCAAAACGCCAGTAGCTCCAAGCGTGAGCGTTCAAAAACATTTACCATAACCACTCTCGAAACACGAGTCGCGTTGCTGATCGCTTTTGTGATTTCTTCTGATGAACACGACTGAGTGAAGGCAGCGGTACGCCTAGATAAAATACACAAGACCCGAAGAAAAGAGTCATCACCTGAGAGCTTGAAACGTGTTAGCGGTCGCCCCATAAAATCAGTCGTCGTCGCCACTTCGCTCGCGTTAAACGTGCCACTTTCATTTGCAATCCCAGCAATTTGATAACTGCTCTCCATACATAAATTATAGTACGCACGCGTCTAACGGAAGTAAACGCCATTAAATAATCTTTAAAATTTTCTTATACTTCAAAATATTTGTACAATATGGCCGATAAAACCAGCGTTTGCATTGTGGGCTCAGGAAACTGGTAAGTTAATAACTTGGTATTGCATTTAGTAACAATGTACTGCTGGATGTGGGTTGTTACACAAGTGTTCCAGAATCGTATTTAGTATATGTATATTTACATATATATGTACTTGTAACTCAGGTACATGACCAACGCGGAGCAACTGGCGCGCTTGAATGAAATGCACGCTATTATGGCGAACTTATGAAAGCAACTCCCACACAGTGTGTACAAGTGAACATTAACCAAGAATTATAGATTATTACATAACTATTATTTTATATTTTCTTTGTAACACATAGGGGTTCGGCAATAGCTAAGATTGTGGGTGCTAATTGCGCGAATCTTCCGCAATTCGAACCGTGTGTGAATATGTATGTGTATGAGGAACAAATAGATGGGAAAAAATTAACGGAAATCATAAATACTACCCATGAAAATGTTAAATATTTGCCAGGACACAAGCTACCTCCAAATGTGGTAAGTAAAATGTTATTTTATTTTATTTCATATAAGAGAATTAGTCAGTGACTGGAGAAAGAATAGCGCGTAAATTGATAACGACAATTGGAAAATTTACTGCTGATAGCGAAAGTCTGAGAACTGGCACGCTGCCAAATGCTGCTTCTTGACCTTAAGTAATGACTTGTTAAATGGTGTAGTGATAGCACACAACGTCAGCCATTTTAGACAGTATTTGCAATAGATTAACATCTAGCGACGGCGAGTGTTAGTTGCGTGAAATTTGTTCTTGTAGTAATACATAAATCTTATTTCAGAGCCACAATGTATAGCAATTTTTGGTAATAACACGCACGTGCTTATGCCTTAGACGAAACATTGCGAATTTTATATAATTTTCACATTAACTTGTGCTGATTAGCATTGAATATTTTTATAACATCATTTAAAAAAAAAACGTAAAATTTTTTTTATTATCGCTTGGTAGATGGAATAATTAAGAAACAAATAAAATTTACGCTCTGACAATTATTAGTCTCAGCTGCGCTTTGATGGACGGTATAGACGGTTTAATAGCTGTAATTAAATTGATACGCTCAGAAGTCAATAAGATTTTAGTTGACTCGCTTGAAATTGAATTGACAACATTTATTGGCATTCCTAATAGAAACACATAAACACTGGTTTGTTCATGTGTAAAATGTACTAAAATTGTTTATTGCATAAAACGAGGGGGGGGGGGGGGGTGGCGGCAACTTATAGTTTGATGAACTGCATCATAACAAAAGGCAACAGTGTTTTTGTTACGGCAAATCTTTAAACTGTTTTTGATAGACTTTTCTGTGGGGATTACGAATCCGTAAGCATAAAGTTTCCATCAGCTCTACATTTTGAGAAAAACGAGGTCAAATTGTCAAAAAATCGATTTTTTTGCAATATTTTAGAAGGTCTGGCAAAAAACAAAAGTTGATAGAAGCTCCACTTAGGCTTGAATTAAAGCTATAACTCTCAGCTACTATCCCTGAAACACTATCCCTGCACCTTGAGCTGATAGTCACTAATAGTCATTTATTGAACAATATAAAAATGTGCTATTGAAAAAGAAAATTAATTTTGTCAAAATCAGTTTTTGGTGTTAAATACAAACTAGAAGTGACCTTAGGGTTGAGGTGCAGGGATTTTTTACTCTTTGACCTCGTTTTTCTCAAAATCTGGAGCTGATGAAAACAAAAGTTTTTCCCATTTTTGTTGCCTTGTGTAATCAAACAAAAAGTGAGTTTTGGATTTTTAGTTAGTTACAGCTTTTTGTATTTCAGCGACGTTATGTCATAGGGCCTTCCTTTCTATATTAAGGGAACGATATGTACGTATGTAAGTTGTGTAGTTTTTAAGCATGGATCAGCTATAATTAATAATGTAACAGGTTTATGGATTGCAAGTATGACCTATTTTTGCACAGTTATAAGAATATTATCCAGAACAAACGAACAATAATTCAACAATAAAAACTTGCTAAAAAATCGTATTATTTTACATGTGCAAATAATTTAATTATGTAACTCTGAAAAATATAAACAAAGTCAGTGTATTTTCAAAACAATCAACATATTAATTAGAGAGTATTGTACTCTCTCGTTTTTCTCAGCAGCCTCCGCTCCAATGTACCAACATACATACATACGTATGTACATACATATATGCATGCGTACAAGAAAGAATATTAAGTAATACGCCACGCGCTTTTGCAAAATTGTTGCTTATTAAAATTAAAAAATTTAACTTACGTAAATGATTTTAAGCACCTCAAGCTAAGGCACAAATAGTACATACATAAGTTCATATGTTAAGAAGGTATTATCTAATCGGACACTGACAATGAAATCTTGCACTTTTTTTTTTGCTTTGTTCAGTTTATTTTTGTTCGTCGTCCCAATGCCACAATGCATGGCCACGATTGCGTTTCGCCTACGTTGGCCAAGAGCAATTGAGCAGCTGAGTAGCTGACATCCCACTGGTCGTTTTGTCATCGTTGTTACCGCAAACCTCCCTGCGCCATCCAACAATACCATATGTTCTCTACTCTATTGTGTTTTGGTAAAATCTGCTCATTTGTTGACTTTCTCCTCGTTCTCGCTGCACTCGCTAAAATAATCTTGTAATAACTTCCAATACTATATGTAAATCACTACATTTATCTTATCGCTGCATTTTACTTGGTCTTATTTAATTTTTAATTTGACTTTCGTCATTACTAAAAGTTATATTTAAATGTACATGCAGCTGTTACCACTCAGGTATGTATGTATGTAAGCTGCCTTTGTTTTTGTATTGCAGCTTTCTTTGTGTAGGTCAAGGCCGTGCAGCGCTTGTTTTCATGTGGCGAAAGCGTCCATCCTTTATTATTTTTGTTTTTGGTTTGCTACTTTTGCTTTTACTTTTGTATTTGCTTTTACTTTGTACTTCTTTCTTTCGCTGCATTCGTGTTGTCATGGTGGGTGGCAAAGTGGCAAGTGTCATGTGAGAGGTCATGGTTAAACTTGCACAACATGCAATTGATTTTCTTTAACAATTGATTGCTATTTATAAATTCACGCCGTTTGCATTTGATTTAAGTTTGTTTGATTTCCATTGTGCTAAGAAAAAACAAACATAATAATAAAACATAAGGAAATATGTACACCTGAGTTCAACTAATTATCGCCGAAATTCAATATGAAATAAAAGCTTCAAAACTTTCACAAATTAAAGAAAAATTAATCAAACTTAAAAAAGTTGTCATCAAAATTTCCAAATTTTTAATCAGGATATTAAGAAAATTTTCGGGTATGCAGTTTTATAGCCCATTCAATTTTATTTTAATAAAGTGCAAGTTTCAAGTCGATAAAAAGTACCGTTGTTTTTTTTTAGATTTTTTTTCTTGTGCAGCGTGTTGCGAATTTTCTTCCATATAACGAATGAACACAATTTATTTTTACTTTACGCCTTTCTTATGTTGGAATGCAACTATGTAGTATTGATGCGCCTAAAAGATACAGCGGTTTCCATTTTCAAGTTACATACCCGATGACAGTACGAATGGAAATTATTAGAGAACGACAGAACTTCGGCTTCGGCTAAAAAAAAAACCGAACTTTGGCCGAATATTTGTAATTTTTTTTAATTTAAAAGTTGTACAAAGTTTTAGTTTTAATGTTTCTATTTGGATGTGTAACCCTGCGTTCATTTTCATTTTGGAAATTACAGAATCCAATCAAAAATTATTTTTTTTTTTATTCTCGCAAAAATATATGAGTACGAAGGCTTTAAATTCATATTAACCATTCATTAAAAAACGAATTGAACGCTCTTTTAATGAACATCTGCTGCCAAGAAACTGAATACTGGTACAAAGCTCACATTTTCTGTTGAACAAAAAAAATAAATTTGTTTTAAAATATTTGTCTGCCCCTCCATCAAGTGTGTCTAGTGAGCAATTGCTCAGTGCTGAAGGTTGCAAGGTGAAAATGCCGATAGGCTATTATTTTTTTCACATTATAACATAAAATTATTTAATTTCGAGTATTAAAAATAAAGGCATTTTGTTATTAACTTTACATACATAGGTATTTTACGTTATAAATTGAAATGGAGGGTGATTTAAACAAATGTACCTTTTTTATTAAACTTGACTTTAAAAAATTCATTGATTATTTATTATTTTAGACCTTGAAATGTTCGGTTCGGTGAAAATTCCTAAAAATAAATAAATAAACATGAAATGGCAAACAATATCACTTCGAGATGGGGGTGCTATTGTATGGACTGATACTGTATATATACAACTGCATACTTGGGTCTTAAAATGATTACTAAGTGAATATCCATATCTACACTAACTACATATAGTCGTTTAAAGTACAAAACCGCGTATCGTCATCCTACAAAATCGCGTAACTGACATTTTTTGCCAAAAATTGGATTTGCTCACACAAGCTCTTGGCTCAATCCTTATCCATGCATCCTGAAATATACTAGCCAGAAATGCGTTGCTTTATAAAAAAAGAAAACCATTTTGCAATATGAGTGGTTTTACTCTCAAGAAAATAATTTATGCAACCTCACATACGCGGTTTTGCATTTTGTTGATACGCGGTTTTGTAGTTTAAACGATGATATGCATTCATTGAAGATTTGTAGTTATGTGTGGTTAAAGTTCAGTGTTTATATTGTTTTAATATCGTTATGGGTTTGGACTCGTAATAGAATTGAGATAAGGACACAAAATTTTCACAAACATTCTGATACGCAATCGTGCGCTTTGAATAGTCAACGTGTTATGGCTCGTTATTATCGAACTTTAAGTATAGGTTTTTAGTAGTCAGTTCTATAAGGTATGCATTTTGTGAAAGCAAGAATACACACAGATACATTTGAACATTAGAGTGCATCACTCTCAATAAAAAAAAAAAAAAAATCGGTACCATCAGAATTATAAAAATTCATACATATAAATATTTTTTAAGACTATTATATTTAAAAATATTAAGACTTACATGAGCTCGACCTATTTGAAAATACCTCCAAAAATCGATTTTTGTTATCAATCAGATAAGTTTTTAAAAATATATATTTTTTTAATCACCTCATATGATAGAGGAGTTCAAATCAGCCTTATCCTGAGTTTCACCCGAAAAAAAGTTCACCTGAAAATTTGTCTTCCGACCATAGTAAATACATGGAAACCAAAAGTGAAAAGTGAAGAATTTTGGAGGCATTTTGAAATCGGTCTAGCTCACGTAAATCGTAATATTTTTCCAAAATATTTTGACAGAAATTTTAAAATGTAATAAATTTTTAATTCCGGTGGAAAATTCGCAACTTTTTGGTGAGGCACCCTTATGTACATACACTATATGTACATACTATGGTTTTCGATTTCCCCTTTTTCCAAACCAGGTTTGAAGTTGTTCGAAAAATTGCAATTTGAAAAAAACGGTTCCTGATTTTGAAATTAAGAAAAAACTGGATAAACCGGATTTATTTTACGTAGTTTTTATGACGTTTAAGTTACTTTTAAGTCCAAAGTAAAACAAAAATGTGTGAAAAATTCGCGTTTGGTCTTATTTTAAATTTTTTTTATCTGTACTCCACTGCATTTGACTTTTTTTCGTTTTTGAGCAGTTTCCTTGCCGCCTTCCATGGTTCAATTTCTGGTCCCAGAAACATCAAAAAAAGCTTTTGCAAATAGCGGTTGGAAATCAAGATTTGTATGAAAAAAACCGGTTTGTTTGATAAAAAAATCCGATTTGTTCGATATTCGAAAGTCAAGATTTCAAAAAAAAAAAAACCGCCTATTTACAGGAAGTAAAATAATAACTGTCGCACAGGTTTTTTGATAAATGAAAGGGTCCTTTATAGATTTTGCTAAAAAAAGTACTTTATTGTTACTTTTCCACACAATTTATTTAATTTTATTAATTAGTTTTTTAACCGACTTCCAAAAAAGGANTTTTTTTATGTATGTTACCGCATAACTTTGGACCACGTCAACCGATTTCGATAATTCTTTTTGCATCGGAAAGGTAGTGTCTCAGAGGTGGTCCCATACTAATCTGGTTAAGATCCGATCAGCGGATCATGAGATATATATATATATATTTTTTTTTATATGAGAGTTGAAGTCGGTTTTTTTTTTGCTAAAGATTACTTGTTAATTTTAACTCTTATTTGGGTTTACCAGCGGTAAACATTTTGAGAGAAAAGCGCAAGCGGCACGCAAATCTTCGTCGGGTTAATTTATTCCATATTTTCTGTAACCATAGGCTGTGAAAATTCGTAATATAATTTTTATGATACCTTGCAAACCCCCTTAATACATAAGTATATGTATATATGACACTTACGACATCGTTGTGAACACCCCTATTGTATGTGCACTGAAATCAATTTAGCATTTCAAAGTCAAACCTTTAAATTAGCCCTTGATTATTTTATTCTAAAAAGTGGGAAGTGCTTAATTGAAATTTTACGATGCTGTTGTTCGTGTTCCTAATAAATTGTAAAGATACTGTATAAAGTGCATTCTAAATATTATCGCACTTCGTTGGCAATTAGCCAATAAATTCTCTTATCTGCAGCGGAATTTTTAATCCATTCGAAAAATATAAACAATTTTCTTCCTTCATCAAAGTCGTTTTCATTCACATAAAAAATAAAATCACCGAAAGGTGATGGACTTTTTAAATTGATTGTTAAAATTAATTTTTATACGTAATTTGTAGATCTGTAGAAGAAGACGTTCAGGGTCAGATATGTATATGTATAAACATTTTTGAACATGTGCACATGCATACATACATACATGTGCGCTATGTGGATGTATGAATGCATTTATAATACTTAAGATGTCTGCTGGCTTCCATGAATTATAATAATTTGTCACAATCTCTAATTCTTAGGGAATTGTCGTTTATTAAATAATATCTTTGGTATTTCGAATATAACACAATTTTTTTAAATTAGTCATTGACTGGCCGCTGGTTGATTGAACTTGTTTGAAATGCAATGCTGGTGATTTTTTTGTAAGTAATGCATACACGATTTTCTACTAGATATTCACTTACAAACATACATACTGTGCATTAGGGTGCTCCTTAAAAAATCAATTGAACGATTTTTTTTCAATCTCACCCCTTCATTCGGTAATACCACGGTCACCGATATCACATACAAATTTTGGTACCGATTGGAGACGGTTAAGGCGTGTCGCCCAGGGGCCAAAGTTCAGATTACCATATGAAGACGCCTTAACCGACACCAATGGGACCAAAATTTATATGTGATATCTTCGACTATAGTAGTATCGATTTTGGATATTATATGAAAAAAATTAATTTTAACTTTTTGAGTCTTAATAGAGGAATCTGTACTTTGCCCCCCGTGCGACACGCCTTAAAGGTCTCCAATCGGGACCAAATCTTATATGTGCTATCTGTGACAGTGGTATTACCGATCGAGGGGATGAGACTGAAAAAATCGTTCATTTGATTTTTTAAGGACCACCCTAATGTGCATACATACATTCCCTATCTTCAATTTCATTATTTATTTTTATAAATGTTGTACAAGAAACATTCTTCTGTATGCACATATGCATGTACATACATACATACATATCTGCACACGGTATAAATCATTAACAATTTGACTTCAGTTTTATTGGCGCTTTAAACCGCACAATCGCCTATTCAATTATTGTATTTCGCCGCCGGCATGCTCATTATTCGTTTTTTTGTAATTGTATTCGGATGTTTTTCGATTTTTTGCTTTTTGTTTCCGTTTGATAAAAAATAGAGTACACCTGAACACACCTTTATTAAGCTTACAAGTTTTGGTTTATGTTAAAGATATAGGCGTATGTAAATAAGCTGGGGTGTAAAAAAAAAATAAAATTGAGGTGTATCTTAAAATGCATACTAGAATCGAGACGGTAATAGCACGTACTTTCAAAACTGATTTTACAAAAAGGAGAAGGTTATCAAGTGGTAAGAATATTTTATATTTTTTTTATATTTTTTTATGTATGTCATCGCATAACTTTAGTCTACGTTAATCGATTTTTATTATTCCTTTTCTAAAGGAAAGGTGTTACCTCACAAGCGGTCCCATACTAATTTGCTTTATATCCTATCATTGGATCATGAAGAGATGAACGATAATCTTAAATTTTTATGAGAATTGAAGGCGGTTTTGTTTTTGGCTTAAAAATTACTTGTATATTATAATACCTCTGGCTCTAATGACCTCATATGTTCTTATAATTCTCCAAATTTGTATTTAATACAATATTTTTTTTTTCAAATCGTAGCTGCCACATGCATAATATGCGAAGAGGCAATAATTTGCACGGTCAGAAATTAAGAAAATACACGTAGTAATAAAAAATTTCTATTCTGATGGTTATCAAAAGCAATTTTGTACTTAGCAACTTTTTCACTATCATTGAACGTAATAAAGATTATGTATTTGAAAAAAATAATCATAACATTATGAGCATTAAAATATCGCTCTGTCATGAAATTAATTGATTCATAGCAAACAAAAGTATGTATTATGTATATTCACGATTAAAATAATGCAAATATTTATTAATAATTTTTTAAAGAAAAGCTCTATGTAACTAACCATTTATTCGTGATTCGCTGGCCTGGGACTCATAACGTTCCATATAAAAAATTTTCACCATCCCGAAGTGTTAATTTTACGATTACTAAGAAGAGAATTTAGCTTAATTCTAAAGTGTATAACCTGGCACGCCTTAAAATTAGTTTTATAAAAAAAAATCAATGTACACATGTATGTAATTCGCTAAACTTTTCCTAGTAAATGATCTGAGAATATAGAAAACTATAAAGTTAAGAAATCTGTATTAAAGTTTTTTTCTTTGCTAACATTCTAATCAAAGTTTTGTATGCATTTTAAGACGATAACACTATGCAAGTTTCATGGATATGTAATACCTCTGCGGATTCTCTCCGGAGTATCGTTACAGAGATATTCTCACACACTATTAATTTTCTAAAAAAGTTAAACAATCACAATTAAAAAATATGTAATAATTTATTACATTATCGTAAGACGTTAATAAGTTAGTTTTATGGGGAAAAATAAGAACCGATAAATGAAAAATGTAAAAATGTAGGTACATTAGGGTACATCGTTCTCCATACAAAAAAAAAGTACTGTAAAATTTCGCCAAAATATTACTAGTTTTTAAAAATATTTTATTTTTCAATCCAACTCAGATTATAGAAGTGTTTAAAGGGCAGATAAATTTTAAAACCTACTTGAGAAAACGGCCCTTAAAATATAATAAATTTTATAATTCCAGCGGATAATCCACAACTTGTTTTTGTGACGTACCCTAATGTACCACAAATATAAACATACTCGTTCGGGCATTTGAATGTATTTTTATGTTAGGTGTCTATAAACTGTGCTTTATGGCGCATTTACATGGTATGAAGCCATATGAACTGTTGATACGCTAAAATAGAGGGACTACATGTTCTAATGAGGAATTCAATGATTTGGAGTGGGATGCATATAATAAATTTTTTCATATGAAAAGTTATGGGGAGATACTGTAAACATACTGTTGTGATACTGTTAAGCATATGAAATTATAGCAAGTTGAATTTTCATACATCTTCCCATAAAAAGTTTACATACTTACTTACATACAAAGCAAGTTAAACAAAGCTTGTAAAAATAAAATCAAACAAGTAATTTTTAAACTGCAACTTTTATTGTGGAGGCGCCCTAATGCACATACACCTTTACAAATATACAGATATAAACACGTGCACACCTTAAATACCAATAAATAATCATATAATTACGTCCTATTGACCAATTGGCAGGATTTTATCGGATTGAAATAAAATCCGCATATTTATCGCGAATAATTTTCATTTATGGTATGATTAGAAGACCAACGTCGGCGTCAATATGCTGTTATACATACCTAATATAAACCGAGTACTACAAAATTGATTTATCGCTTAGGAACAATATTAGACAATGTGACGCCTGCAATCGCTCATTTGTGGCGCTTTTTTTCCTATTAACGCGAAGCTCAATGAACAATCATGATTTATTAAATGAATTATTTATATAAAGTATTTATATATTATCCACTATCAGGGCAGCGCACATGCAAAGTATACACGCGAATGGATTCCATTAATTTTCTTTCATCTCTTTTACAGGTCGCTGTACCGGATCTCATTGAAGCGTGCAAAAACGCTGATATTCTCATTTTCGTTGTGCCACATCAGTTCATCCCGAACTTCTGCAAAACGCTTTTGGGTAAAATTAAGCCCAATGCTATAGCTATTTCGCTGATTAAGGGCTTTGACAAGGCCGAAGGCGGTGGCATCGATCTTATTTCCCACATCATTACCCGCCATTTGAAGGTATATCGACAATAATTTAGATTACCTTATACGAACGTATGTATGTCAAACAAATGCTCATATACTATATCTCTCTTATAGATTCCCTGCTCTGTGCTTATGGGTGCCAATTTGGCTAATGAAGTGGCGCAGGGTAACTTCTGCGAAACTACAATTGGTTGCCGGGATATTAAGTACTCTAAACTACTGCGTGATCTCTTCCAAGCTGATTTCTTCCGAGTTGTTGTGGTGGAAGACGCTGATGCCGTTGAAGTTTGTGGTGCGCTCAAGGTGGGTTACGTTTTGTATTAGTGAAATTTTATTTATATTATAATGTATAACAAGTAAATATTTCTTAATTGTGCAGAACATTGTTGCCACCGGTGCTGGTTTCATCGATGGTCTAGGTTTAGGTGACAACACTAAGGCAGCCGTCATTCGATTGGGTCTGATGGAAATGGTACGATTTGTTGATGTTTTCTACCCAGGCAGCAAGCTATCAACATTCTTCGAGAGCTGTGGTGTTGCTGATCTGATTACCACTTGCTATGGTAGGTCATTGTAGAGATGAAGAAGTTTAATTTTAAATATGCTACAATTGTATTTTTTCTTTTCTTTAATAGGTGGTCGTAACCGTCGCGTTGCAGAGGCTTTTGTGAAAACCGGAAAAACTATCGAACAACTCGAAAACGAAATGTTGAATGGACAGAAATTGCAAGGTCCCCCCACCGCCGAAGAAGTGAATTACATGCTGAAGAACAAGGGCTTGGAAGAAAAGTAAATATGCACACAAATGTGCACATATTTGAATATCTAATAATTTTAACAAATTTTTGCTTACAGATTCCCACTGTTCACGGCCATTCATAAGATCTGCACAAGTCAGTTGAAAGTTCAAGATTTTATTGATTGCATACGTAATCACCTCTGAGCATATGTAAGTTGATGTGTTCTTTAGTGCACTTTTTCCTCTTACAATGAGCTTCCTAAAGCAGTAATTCCACTAAAGCAATATTCCTTATGAATCAAAATTTTCCCTTTGAAATTTGTTTCCTCCTTAATGTTTCCATTAAAAGTTGTTCTTATTTTGTAACCTGATTTGCGATTTACGTTTGTATGTAGCCTAATTTAGTAGTTGCACGTTTCTCGTTCACTTGTACTTACTTATTTTGCTTTTGTTGAAGTTGTTAATGATTGCAGTTAGCTTTAATTTTTCGCTTAATTTTAACTATTACGTTTAAGTATATATAAAATATTAAATTGTAAATACACTTCTGTTCGACACCAAAGTATTTTATTTTATTCTAAAAGCAAAATTTGCCGCACCACACCTTATTTTCTTACTAACATTGCACACAATTTGTAGAAAATTGTCTCACATTTTTATTTTTTTTTGTTACGACAGTCAAAAAGGCTGTGCGGTTAATCACGCATGATAGTTGGTGGTGGCGAATGTTGAAATTTCTAAATCCCCTTTATATGTATTAATATGCAGCGGTTAAAACAACGTTTCGCTGCATTTACCCTCTGTAGGGGTCATAGGAAACCACTTCATAAATGGCCAGCAACTACTACGGGCTGTTTTTTTTTTCATTTACATATGTATATCTGGTAGTTACTTATATGTATATTTTAAGCCTTTGTTGGACAGCATTCCTTAGTTCAGGCTTCTTATTTCTAATAGTATTTAAACAAAGTGATGAATAAGATATTGAAAACTCAAATTCATTGAGGTTGAGTGGTGAAAAGTGTGTTTCCAAATTATCATGCCTTCACTTGCTTTTTATCGGACGGTTTGTATTTATTTTTAAAAATTTTGTGCATAGCCTTTTTCGCTTTGTTTGCCTTAGCTATTGGCGTACAGTTATAATTATTATAATTTTTATTGCAGATATCATCCAACGAATATATTTCCGCTCTAAAATCATGTATATGTATGTGCATGCGTCAGCGAACTTTTATGGTTTCCTCTATCAAAAACTTAACTATTCCAAGCATTACTAACAAATAATCATTAACCACTCTTGGCACTCAATTGCATATGTTTCTCTTCACGCATTTTAACACTAAAAACAATTTTCCACATTTTCCATTTCTCTTAGGGATGAGCCCATTATTGTTGTGCAACCGAAGTTGTAATTTTCTGCACCCTTTGCCATAAAACATACAAATCGCGCCTAATTGGATTTTCGGGAAAAGATATAAATGGAATATACATGCATAAGTATTAGAGCGCATAACATTAATTTATGTATGTTCTCTTAATACGTTATGCCTTACATACATACATATATCGATAAAAACAAAACAAAAAAAAAAAACATACAAATTGAAATCATTAGAGAGTCGCACTTCAATTCTAACCTAACCTTTTCGCTCATCAAAACAATCACCCCGAACAGTTTCACGATCACGTATGCCGAACTCAAGCACTCCGGTATACATATGTAAGTATTTAGAAGCAGAAAAATGACCATGATTGCGATTAAAAGCCATCATCATCAAGCGTGTCGAGAGATTTTACATTCATATATTTGTATATCATAAGTTAATTCAAGTTGTATATATTTTGTATGTATCTGAGGCATATTTGTAAATATCTATAAATAACTATTGTGGTCAATGTTTAATTATGTATTTGTTATATTAATAAAAAAAGATTTATAACAAAATTGTTGATAATAAATAGGAATGGTTTTGAAAAATGAAATCAAAGTCATGCATTTCATATCATTGCATTAGGGTCATCCATTTGAGTCGGTTATCATTTTGATTCGTAATGAGATAATTGAGCGGAGCTACGCCGAGTTTAGAATTTTTTTAATATAATACATTTTTTTAATAAAAGAACTGCCTAATATGTATAAGTGTTTAACAATTTGGCTATAGAAGTTACTGAAATATTACAACTGATTGTGGTTATTACCCGCTTGAGGCCATTTTTAATATTATCCACACGAAGGGACGAGTATAAAAAGGATAAACATAGCCTAAATGATTTTGCTTTCTATTTAGTTTCTGTAAGGTTTTTTTTTTTATAAATAACTATAAACAAAGTTATAATACCCGTACGCACAAATGTGATTGCTCCACAGTATTTGACAAGTCAAAAATGCTAAACTGTCGATGTTTGCTAGGGTTTTTTTTCCAATTTAAGGAAATTCACCCGTGTGTGTATTAAAAATCAGTTAGAATATTTAAACATTCTTCTGGAACAGCGTGATAAAGGGAATTCGCCATATATATACAGTGCGGTCAATGAATTAGACCAAAATTCAAAATGATAAAAGCTTCAAGTTGCACAAATTTAAAAAAAAAAATGTATCAAATTAAAAAAATTGCCATACAATTTTTAAGTTAAAATTTTCGGGTAAAGTGATAAGAGATTTTCTGCATTATAAATTTTCGTAAGATTTTCTTTACATTTTAGCATTATACATTATATAAATACGAGTTAAGCAACTACCAGGAGAATGTTGATTCATACACCCACATTGCCAATTTTCACACCTTTATGTGTACATAATATAAAATCATTTGCAATCCATATATTTTTTATTTTTAAGTTCATACGATACAAATTATGAGTATCTTCCAGCTACTCGATGTTATTGACTAAACACACCATCAACTAGGTATCTACAATCCGCGCATTCACTTTTCTTCGGTATTCTCCAGCTAGGTGCTTTTCCTTTAGATATACTCTGCTTTAAATGCTTAAAATTTTGGTAGACACAAACAAAAAACCAAGAGAATGAAACGGAAGAAAAAAAAATCGATTTTTGGATATGGTTTGCAATTTAATGCTGCTACAACGACATTAAACGTATGTATGTCTAAATGTGCAATTCGGCTGACTCCAGATTGGTTCTATTCCCCCCGATTGGCATGCTTATCACCCGATTTGTTAAAACACTAAATTTATAAAAGTAGTTATGCTAATTATTTCTCTTTCTTCTTATATCTTCTTCTATTTCACAGGCAAGAGCTCTAAATAAATAAGTATGTAAGCTGTAAAGAAAGAATACGCATGTTAGCAAACACACATATATGCATATAATAGTATAAAATTGCATACTCAATAAGACCCACCACTATCTATCGAGAAACGCAAAATGACAAACGTGCAAAAAATATCTAAAACCAAAGAAGAAAAGACAAAACATGACACCACACTTTTAATCAAGTCAGAAATAAAATTAGTGAAATAGGAAAATTTTAAAACAACTCCAGTTATTTTAAAAGTACATATGTACATACATATGTATGTACATAGATATGTATTTATATGTATGTATGGCTATTAATTTTAAAGCCATACCACCAAACTGAAAGCTTTGTATAAAGTACCTGGTTCATTGAAGCTGCAACGTGTAAACTTTGATTCAGAATTTGTTACTAACACAAAGAGTGAAAAGGCCAGTAACTCAATGCGCACCAAGACACAATTTAAATAAAAAGAGCTTTTGATTTTGTTTTAAGAATATTAACGACGACAGCGAGCTTGTAATCTGATGGGCAAATCGTTAAGTAACGGTAAATTACAAGTGCAGGTATTTTTGGCTATAAGATAGTTCGATGAGTTCGCACAATCGCAGCTTAAACATATGCACTAACATATTTACATACCTACAGACGTAGAACGTCAGGCTGTCTCTTTGCACATATGCTCTTAAAACAACAAAAAACATTTTATTTGAGTGAATACCTAATGAGTACCTAAAGTTTTAGCAACTAAGTAGGACTACCATTAGGAGCTTGTTGTTTCTCCCAAAAAAACTCAAAATTAGTAAAGAAAAAAATGAAATACCAAATTGTAAATAAATAAAAATGTGTATAAATGCACTTACATAAGCCAACTGATGGTTAATTAGTATGTATATGTATGTATGTACATACATACATATGCATATCATTTGATAGCACACATGAGGATTAAGATTAAAAAAAGGAAAATAAAAATAATTTGGAAAAAAATTAAAAACAAAATTTCTGTCGTAATACGCTGACAACCAGAAATCGCTGACTTTTATTAAAACAAAAAAAAAATTAAGGGAGGGAAATAATCCTACAACACTGTGACCACACTGCCGCACTACTGCAAAATAACGGTCTCTCTTAATTCTAAACTATAATTGATGGAAAGGTCCGGCATGCGAAAAATACAGTTAAATGCCTAATTGGAACTTAGTTGCAAAAATCAGTCATTGCTAATTATGAACCATAGTTTATGAATAAATGAGGTTTATTTATTTTTTAATTTAAATACTATCGGTCTTTGAGACAGCTCGATTAATTTTTTATGGACAAAGGTGAACGCCCAAAAATATGCCACACGGTTTGTTGGAGACTGTCAATATGCAATCCCGCCGTTTCAAACCTAGATAGAATGATAGTGAAAAGAGGTAAGGACTGCGAACTATCTGCGATCTGTTGTGCGCTCTACTCCGCATTACAGTTCGTGCAATCCTGAAGTCTGCAGAAAGTTTGGAATAGCCTTTGGGACTAAGCGATGTGTGTTGTCAGTAACTTAACCTCACTTTCTCGGCACGTCTATTTCGGTCACGCATTTTAAAATAGTAGAAAAGGTACTAATTATTTACTACTTTTAATCCGTTTGTGCATATATTTCAAATTAAATGTAGAAAAATGTATAATACGCTAAAATAAAATGTATGCTGAATATCGTCCTCTTGTTGTCGACGATCACATCAGTAAATGGCTAACAACTGGCCGTACCGTCACTTCAACTGACTTGACGATATTTAACATAGGCCGAGATATGAAAGCTATAAGTGGCATGCTAAAAAAATGTAACATAATAATGTAAGTATCTAAGTAATTAAAAATGCTTTATTAAAATCCAATTTGCATACAAAAAATTGTAAAAAATTTAACTACTTTAATTTCAGCTTTGCCTCTATATGTTACTAGCCTTATATGATTTTGCATAAAAAATAATTTTTATATAAAGATTTCTTTGATATCTATTACTAATAATTATCTTACTGCAAAAAATTGCATTTCTTAACAATGAATTTATGTTTCTAAAAGATTAATTTAAGATTGCCATACTTCTTTTATTGGTTAAAACTGCT